GGGGGGTGCTGGAGCCGTGTGCAGCACCGACTGGCCCTGAGTCAGAGGCCACGACACCAGCACTCCGTTGCCTTGGGGAGGCCTGGGGTGGGGGGGACGCACCGTCCGGGCCACGGAGCTGTCTGCTCCCTCTCGTGGAACCACGGCAGGCCCTCCTGGGCACTCTACTCCTCCCCACGTGGCAGGGACAGGGACCGAAGCGGGAGACCGGAGAAGGGTGGCCGTCAGGGCCAGAGGTACGCGGGTGCCGGCCATCGGGCGAGCGCCGGGCTGGAAGCCTGTGCGAGGCAGGGAGCGGGAGCCCCGTCCCCCGTTTACTTCCTTGCAGCCTAAGGCTCTTTTGTAGCTGGGCTGTGGGCAGGCCTCCCGCACCTGAGCGCGGCCCGGATGGGCTCAGGGACGTGGAGGAGCCCTCCTGCCCCTCGGTGAACAGCTGGCCGTTCTGGGAACCTGAGCTGACTTTGGGGCCCGGTGTCAGACCCTCACGGAGCCTCAGTTTCCCCATCTGTGAAACGAGAAAAAGAAAATCGACCTTGCCATGTTGCTTTAGAGACCAGTAACGGTTCATTTCGGCTGCTTTGCAAGGTGCCGAGCACACGGAAAGTGATGGTCCTGGGGCAGCAGTGGGGCTGGGAGCATAAGAGGGGGTGCCCAGGAGGCACTGGGGGCTCTGATTTCCAGCGCCCTCTGCTCCCAGGCGTTCTCATGCTGCAGGGTTTACGTGAGCCCTCGGTGGCGTGCTCTCCTTGGAAGCCTCGGGGCTGGCCTGTCACAGCGCCCTCTGCCCTCACGGTGCTGCACACAGAGAAGGTCTGGGGAGCCTCCAGGCGGGCTCCCGGGGGAGGATTCAGGCCCCGCGGCCAGCAGTGCGGGGCAAACGTGGTGTGCCCACAGGTGCCAGTGCCGTGTAGATGTGATGCCACCCTCTGGGACCAGCCCGTGTCTTCGGGGACCCCCTCCCAGCTTTGTCAGTGCCTGCCACGGCAGGAGTGGGATGGGCGGTTGTCCCCGGGCCCACGCCTCCTGCTTGCCTACGGGCCTCTCTTCCCAGTCACGGCGCCAGGCCACCCCTGGGCGCTCCCAGCTCCAGGACTGACTTCTGTGGACGGTGGGCGGGCAGGCAGCCGAGCTCAGGGTGTGGGGACCTGGACCCCAATACACATTTGCTGTATTTTTATTGCACTTTTACCACATTGCAATCTATTCCACAAAAATGCTGCAAAATTAAGCCTGTTGCTGAGCCCCGCGGAGGGGCCCGTGTGACGTATTTACACAACCATCAGAGCAAAGTCAGAACAGCAGCAGCACCCTCAGCGGCCGGGGAGCGTCCCCGGGGCTGCCGAGCGGCTCTGAGAAATGGAAGACGTGGTCATTTACGTCACTCTGGAGCCAGGAGTCTGTCGACCAGCCCGTGGTTCCATCAGGAGCCCCCCGGGCACCGAGATGGGACGGTCGGCCGTCCGGCTGCAGGGCCCCCAGGAAGGAGGGGAGGCGGGAGTTTATTTCAAGTTAGGTCCAGATGTGAGCAAACTTGGTGGGAGAGGCCAGCCCCGTGGGCTCTGCCCCCTCGTGTGCATTTGGTAGCTGGGCTGGCGTCCGTGGGTGTGGGCGTCGCTCTCTGTCTATGCACATACACGCCACGTATAAATACAAAATAGTACATAAACGCTTCCTTTCCATACAAAAAAGGTGGGTCGCCCCCGCCGCCAGGCCGCCTCCGTCCGTGAGCACAGAGCGCCCGCTCCCCAACCTCCTCCGGTCTCGAGGACGAATACGACGTGTCCTGTCGGACCCACCGCCGAAGGTTCCCGGACTCTGGGAGTGGCCTGTCTGTTCCCAAAGTCACTGAACGCAGGGTGTGGACGCACGTGTCCCTCCTCCGTGGCAGGCCGGCGGCTCTCGGTCACTACCTGCGGGGGGGGACTCTGTGCTCAGGGCCCAGGTCGTCCTCCAGCACGCTGTGCGGCCCGTCCTTCTCCACACAGTCCCTGACGGCCTGCAGCACGATGCGGAGCCTCCGGTCCAGGGCCTCCAGGTGAGGCTGGTACAGGACGGGGGCCACGCGGTCCTTGCTCAGGGACTCTGCCATCAACAGGCTCAGCCTGTACTCCTCCTTGGCCAGGAGCTGCAGCCGCAGGTAGGTGGACTTCCTGACCCTGCAGGGGAGAGGGAGGTCAGGCGCCAGCTCGCAGGAGGCGGTGCCCGGCCTCTAAGGACTGGGCGCGGGGCGCTGGGGCAGGACGAGGGACCGCGTCGGCCCCGAGCGGGGAGGCCACGGGTTGGTCCTTGGCCTGCCTAGGCCCCTGCGTGCCAGAGGCGCCACGGTGAGGGTCCCGCCTGGCAGAGCAGGGGGCCACGTGAGGCCTGGCAGTACACGGGCAGACGCGGGGCGGGGAGGGACGGCCTGACCCCCCGGGAGACAGCGCTCGGCTCCGCGGCACACGCCTGCCTGGGCCGGGCAGACCCAGTGCGCCTCGCAGACTGCTGTCCCTGCCCTGACAGGAGGATCCGGTGGGGAGCCCCGAAGAGGGTGGCAGAGAGGGCTGGGGACGGGACCCCTGTCCGGGCGCCAGTGTCTTCAGCCGTAAGATGGGCCGTTATGGGGTCTGTGGGCTGTGTGCTGGGAAGGGCCTCGGGGCTCTGGCCTGCATGCTGCAGGGACTGGGGGGTTTCTGCTTAGCCTGGGGACGGGCCGGGGCTCCCTAGGGGGCAGGGAGTGGAGGCCTTACCTGCAGCATTGCTGTAAAGGCACCAGAATGGACAGCTCATCGTGGGAATATTTTCCAAACCTGCCCAAAGAAGAGGAGAATTGTCCAGGGTGTCGCCTGCGTGCCGAGGGTACCACAGAGCAGCCCCGGGGACACCCAGGGCCCTGGAATGAGCACCTCACGCGTGCCCTGCTGGGACGCCAGGGCCGTGTGGCCCGGCCCCCGCTGTCCCCGGCACTGGACGCAGGGCCTGGGATGAGGGAGGTCCTGGAAGGTAGCTTAGCCTTCTGGCCGCTGCGTGGGGCAGGAGCTCATAAACGCAGGGTCCTAGGCAGGCGGGGTGGAGAAGGCAGTCGGTGGCCAGCTCAGCCCAGTGCCGTCTTTTGTGCTGGGAACTCGTGGCCCCCACGTGTCAACTGTCCGGCTGCCCGGTGCCCACTTCTCCGAGGCATCTGAGAATAGCTTTAGTGGCAGCTTTAACCATTTGGGGAGGGCAGGTCCTGTGTCCCTGCCTGCTAATCAGGCAGATGGCCCTCCTTGGTGGCTCCGGCCAGCAGTGTCCACAGGCCCCCACAAAGGGGGCAGGGAGGACCGTTTGTCCCTGCCAGCCAGTCCCAGACATCCACATGAGGCATAAAGGGCTCCTCACAGCCCTGTCCTTCCTGGCAAGCACCCTCTCTGGGCCTCAGTTTCCCTAGGGCAACATGGGGACATAACAGGACCCAGTGCACAGGGTGACTGCCCCTGAGGGTCAGAAGGAGCAACGCGACAGGCACTTCCTGCCGACGGGAGCCAGAGGCCAGGGGCCCCCCCCCCGTGCCCCACCCCCAGAATGTCCTTGGGGAATGGCCCCCCCCGCCGCCACAGTCTGGGCCCCCCAGGTCTGTAGGAGCAAGAACACAGCTCACCCTCTTCCGTTGTCCAAGTGGATGATAAATGTGTCATTCCCAAACTTCTCAAAAGTCTCGTAGTGATGACGGTCCATGTTCCCTGTGGACAGAAGCAAGCTGAAAACTCAGGGCTGTCCCCCCCCGCCCCTGTGAGACCAGAGCCGAAACAACGGAGCAAAGCGTGTGCCGTGGCCACAGCCAGTCACGTGCAGGGTGGGAGCCCCGGGTGCAGGCCGGGGCCGCCGACATACCCATGAGGAAGTCAAAAATGGTCATGTCCATGACGTCCAGCACACGGCGACTGCTGTCATAGGGGGGCGTCTGCTTTACCTCCTCGCAGTAGTCGGGGTCCACTTCCCACCTGCAGGGGAGCCACTGTGAGAAGGCTCAGTTCCTCCTCTGTGTGGCCAGGGAGGCCCAAAGCAGCTCGGCACGGCGGGATTACCGCAGCAACGATGGGGGGGTGCAGAGAGGCGTCAGCACAGAACAGCGCCTCTGGCCGAGGCTGCATTAACGGGAGTACGGGGCTGGGAGGTGAGCGAGCCATGTCTGGAGGCCGTCGTCAGCCCCAGATGCCGGGTTTCTTGGGGGGGGGGGGGTCGCTGTTAGGAAACAGAGCCTGGACACCAGGCCCACAGAGACACCTCCACGGCCACCTCTCTCGTCTGAGGGACAAGAAGAGCAAGGAGTGCAAGCCGAGTTTGGACACCGAGAGCCTGTGCCTCTGGGCTGGCCAGCGCCACCGCGGGGCGCACCTCTGATTCTCAGGGTGAGGAAGCCCCGTCCCGCCATCTATCCACAAAGCGGAGGTCTCGTCCGCGTCACAAAGGGAGGCTGGGCGCGCCTCCCTTCCCCGACACCCCTTCACACCCCGTGGCCCTGGACAGGCCCGAGGCCCCTCCGAGCAAAGCGCTGTCAGAATGAGCAGGTGGGCCCGGCCTGGGCTCGGCCTGCCCAGCACTCACTCTGCCTTCTTGCGCTTGTGGTAGGAGCGCCGCCAGGGGTTCCGCCACGTCTTCCTCTTGGCCAGGGACAGGTCTGGCAGGAAGGCCGCCAGGGAGCCCTCGATCTGGTCAGGCTTCCCACACAGCGCGTGCTCCGTCGAGCAGTAGTAGGAACACTCGCCGTAGAAGCAGACGTTGTTGGCTGGCGGCAGACAGACACAGGGATGAGTAGGGAGGGGCACGTCCCACGCCCGCCCTCCCGCACGTCCGCCTGGGCCTCCCGCGTCCACACCGTCCGTTGGACTTGCACGGCCCAGATCTCCCATTGCTGCGACCCCGTGGTACGGGACACGGAGGCCCACGGAGGGGGGCTGAGCGGCCCGAGGCCACACAGCTGTGGGCGACGGGACGGCCTCGACAGAAACTCTAGAGTCAACGCTCAGAGGCTTAAAAGGCATAACGGAAGCGTGGACACTCCACGGCGGGAGGGGATGTCTGCTCATCGCGGATCCGACGAGGGTCTGGCGTGTGGCACATGTGAGGAGCGTAAAAAGCTAAATAATCCAACTGACGCACGGGAAGGGAGTTCAACAGATACCGCAAAGGCGCAAGGGGCCAACAGGGACGTGGGAAGATGCTCCACACCATCGGTCGTCAGGGGAATGCGGTGGAGTCCACAGAGGCGCCCCTTCTTACCCACCAGGCTGGGTTTGGTCAAGAGAACAGGCGTTTACAGGTGTTGCGGAGGATGGGGAGAGACCGGGGCCCCAGACGGAGCCGGTGGGGTACAAACGGGGGAGGGCGCCATGGAAACCAGTTTGGAGGCTTCTTAAAAACTTAGGCACAGAATGACCACGCCACGCAGCAGTTCTGCACCCAAGAGACGTGGGCACGTGTCCACAGCGTGCTGCACGCGGGGGCCACAGCATCCTGGTCACAGAGGCCGAAGAGTGGAGGCAGTCTGGACGTCCATCCGGCGGTGAGTGGGCAAACAGAACGTGGTCCGCGCACCCCGTGGAACGCTACGTACCCTTAGAAGGGGCGAAGCCCCGACACACACTTCACCGCAGACGAACCACGGAAACGCGTGTGCCATGAGAGAAGCCAGACCCGGAACACCACGTGTTGTCAGATGCTGTTGACGTGAAGTGTATCCCACGCAGAAATATTGGTGGCTCGGGGACTGGGGGAGGCGGGAGCTGGGGGTGACTAACAGGGACGGGCTCCTTTTTGGGGTGAGGAGAGCGTGCGGAGATCAGCGGGGCTGTGGCACGACGTGACGCATGTACCAAAAGCCACCGAATGGCACACTTCAAGATGACGAGTTTCATAAAAAAAAAAAAAAGGGTGGGGCAAATTTAACTCGATCTAACCAATATGTATAGGCAGTTACTTAAAGAATAAAACGCCCTGGTCACTTTGTTGCCCAAAAGAAGTTAATGAATTTCATGGCGCCCGAATCATGTCTCGATGAAACAAGTGATTTAGAAAGCGGGCACCTCTTGCTGACCAGGCGACACGCCGATTTGTTGCCAGAGGCCCCTGCCGGTCAGGGGCGCGATGGCGCTCGTGTGTGTATTTACCGGGAGAATCTTGCGTTCAGTAACTTGTCTGTTTGCTGGAGAGACCCTCAAGAGCCCGGGGAGTGCAGCAGCCAGAAATCCCCTCCCGGCTGTGCAAACGGCCAGTTCCCCGGACAAGGGGTCTCCTTTCGTGCGGCTGCGCGCCCTGCCCGCATGGCAGTCACGAGGCTCCTGAGTCTTCTGGCCACGCGCTCGCTCCCCATGGACTCCTGACGTGAGCCTGGCAGGCCCTTCTAGCCGCAGTCTCCGTGTCTGGTGGGCAGTCTCCCACGTGGGCAGTCTCCATGGGCAGCCGTCCAGAGGAGATGGGGGGCCGGTGCAGGGGCTCCCGCCGCGCCCCGCCGGCACACGGGAGTCTCCGCCTGGATCGCCTGCCTCTCTCTTCCTGCCCCTGACCTCATGATCCCCGATCCGGTGCTGGGGAATTGCTGTGAGGACAGTCTGGGAAAGGTCAGTCTGTGGTCTCGCCTGCGTGTTGACGCAGTTCATCAGCGACCCCCTGACACACGGTGCAGCCATAACCGAGGCGGCAGCCTCACTTTCAGGGGGACAATCTATCTGATCCTGTTGGCCGGAGCTCTGGGATTTGCTGAGCTAAGAGCCTAAGCTGGCTTTGCTCAGAGAGAAAGGCATTTCTTGAGTGCACAGCACGGTCCTCGTCAGACATCCAAATCTGGTTTCTGAAGGAGCAGCCAGGGTGGGGCCCGGAACACTGCCCAGAGGTGCGAGATCGGTGTGGTGTTTCACCTCCTTGTGCCTCGGTTTCCCCACCTGAATGAGGGCCCCGGTAGTGCCTGCTCATGGGCTTGGGAGTATTAAACAGGAAATGCGGGTAAGATCAGATGTCTGACACTGAGTCAGAGGGCAGTGCAGATGAGCGGTCACTAGGTCACCCCCGCACTTGGACGGGGGAGGGGGAGGGGGAGGAGGGGACATGAGCCCTTTCTCGTCTCAGCGATGACGTCTCAGCAGACGGCGGGGAGAAGGTGGGGGCCAGAGTCAGCCCAGGAGAACCTGCTTCCCTGCCACTCTGGGGCCACCGCCTCCAACTCCGGGGACCTCGGGGGCAGGATGGGCGACCCCGAGCGAGAACCTGGTCTCTGTGGAGCTGGAAGGCATGTGGCTCGAGGGCTGAGCATTGGGACCGGGAGTGTTCCAGGCCTTTGCACGGCAGGGAGGAGGGTCCAGAAGAACAGAACGCTTACCGTCCTGACCCCACCTGGATGGATCTGGTGTGGGTGGCTCTCAGGTGGGGCTGGAATGCTGGGGAGCCACCATCGCTCAGGAGTGGCCTGAAGGTGTCCGGGCACAGCTCTGGGGACCCTTCTTACCCTCGTGCGCACTTAAACTGGACGCTGCGTCCACAACGTGTGGGTAGAGGCCTTGTGCCTACCCAGCCAGACCCAGGCCTGCGTAGCAGGAGAAAGAGTCACTTGAAAGACGTGGGGCTGAGTGGCTGGGAGGGAACAGGAGGGGCTCCCAGAGCTGCTCCCAGTCTGTGTCTTGTCCTAGAGGCGTTTACGTAGGTGGGTTCCCCTCGTAGAAACCCATGGATGCGTGTACCTTCCAGGATGTATGAGATGTGTCCGTGGAGAGTTACCGCAAAGTACAAAGACTTTTGTGGGGCTCGGCACAACTGGGTTCCGACCCAGCCTGTCTCTGCACTGTTGCTTGGCGGGGGTGCTTAGCTGCTCTCCTGAAAGAAGACGTATCTGCTTAGACTAGGAACCGATTCCGCCTTTTGTTTATAGGAAGGGATCCACAACCTTCTTCACCCACCACATGTGGGACTTCAGTGCTGGGATTCTGGACACTGGTGGCTCCGTGGCCCCTTTGAGAGCCCCCCGGCAAAGCTGCCATGCGCCCCGGTGAGACCTCGAGACCCAGAAGCGGGGTTCCTGCAGGGAGGCCGCTGTGCACCAAGAAAGCAAAGTGTAGAAAGTTCTTGACTCATTTTCCTCTCTTGACATTTCCTCCACTTCATTTGGGGCGGGTTACTGAGTCCCCTCTCGGCGGTGCCCATCACCAGATGACCAGGTAAACGACATGGGACGCACCCACCCAGGGCCACGGGGCCCTGACATAAAGAGCAACACGCAGACACCACACAGCGATGTGGAGGGACCTCGGAAGAGTGCTGTCGAGCAACAGAAGACAGACAGACTGCCAGTCACCCCCACTGTGCAAAACCGTAGAAGAAGCAAAGAAACCCTCAGATACGGAAAGCACATAGCGCTGTTGGGGGTACAGGGCAGGATGGGACCGGGGCAGACGGGCCAGTTCGTTGCTTCTCTGCTCGTGTCAAAACTCCTCGAACTTTGCACGTTGATACTGTCTACACCATGCCAATCGTACCTCAACAAAATGCTTAAAATGGGGGGGGGGGGGGGGCGCGGGAAAAAAACCCCCCCCCACGCTGGCCTAAGAATTAAAGGTGGAATCCCACAGCAGGTGCATACCAGTGCCTGGCATACCGCAGGTGCCCAGTCATGTCCGTGTTCCCTTGCTGCGGTAGAATCGCCTAGAACATCCCTGCCGTGTGGTGGCCAAGGTGGAGGACACGGCGCCCGCGGTGCAGGCCTTGCGGGCAGCAGCAGCCCTGTCTGAGGGGGCTGGGGGCTGCTCACGGGGGGACAAACTTGTTTCAGGCTGAGGGGACACTATCCAGCCCGAGTGGCCCCACCCACGGCCCGCTCTCAGCAGCAACAGGCCTTTTCGGCCCCTCCGCTGGCACCAGAACAGCCTCTCGGCGGGCTCTGTGATCGAGGTCCCAGAACTCGTCCAGGTCAGACATGTGGAGGAGCATCCCTCTAACGGGGAAACCGGGTGATGGGCATGGGGGGGCGGGCGTGTTTCATCTTAAGTTCTGAACACTGAACGACGTCACTAAAATGCTGCAATGAGAATCGGAAAGACCACTGACAGGGGGCAGCGGCCTGGGGGGGTCCCGTGAGCGTGGCCTGGGGCCGTGTGGGCGTGGCCGTGGTCCAGAGGGCATGTCCTGTGGGTGTGGGCGTGGTCCGGAGGGCATGGCCTAGTGCCCTGTGGGTGTGGCCTGTGGGCGTGGCCTGGGGTCGTGTGGGTGTGGCCGTGGCCCTGAGAGCGTGGTCTAGTGTTCTGTGGGTGTGGCCTGGGGGCGTGCAGGCGTGACCGTGGCCCGGAGGGCGTGGCCTAGTGTCCCGTGGGCATGGGCGTGGCCTGGGGGGGCGTGGTCTGGGGTCGTATGGGCGTGGCCTGGGGCCGTGTGGGTGTGGCTGTGGCCTGGAGGGCGTGGCCTAGGGGCCTGTGGGCGTGGCCTGGACCGTGCGGGCGTGGCCTAGTGTCCCATGGGCATGGCCCGGAGGGCGTGGCCATGGCCCGGAGGGCGTGGTCTAGTGTCCTGTGGGTGTGGCCTGGGGCCGTGCAGGCGTGGCTGTGGCCCAGAGGGCGTGGCCTAGTGTCCTGTGGGTGTGGCCTGGGGGCGTGCAGGCGTGGCCCTGGTCCGGAGGGCGTGGTCTGGGGGTCGTATGGGCGTGGCCGTGGCCCGGAGGGCGTGGTCTAGTGTCCTGTGGGTGTGGCCTGGGGCCGTGCAGGCGTGGCTGTGGCCCGGAGGGCGTGGCCTAGTGTCCTGTGGGCGTGGCATGGGTCCTGTGAGCGCGCGGCCAGCCTAGACTCGGAGGGCTCATCGCCACGTGGGGCAGCAGCCGGGGCAGCAGGGGCGGCTGACGGTGAAGGTGCTGGGGACGTCCAGGCTGGAGGACGAGAGATCCCAGTGTCCCTGACAGGCTGAGGTGGAGGAGGAGCTTGCTGTCTCGGGGGTGGGTGGGTGGGGATTCCAGGGGAAAGCACTAGAACCCACGGTTGGAGAGGCAGGTGTCCACCCTTGGAAAAGAAGGTCCTTTCCAGCAACTCAGTCTGTGCAGACAGGAGCTGAATTAACTCTGAGCCGACAGGCTCCCAGTCACCGGGGGCGTCCAAGCAGCCTGCAGCCTTGGGCAGGCTTAGACAAGGCTGATGAGAAGCCCTCCAAGCCCCCTCCCCTTTGGTTTCTGGTCGGGTGGTGAGACGCTGCCAGCACAGGGGGTAGGGGCACATAACCTCTACGTGGGTTTTATGTGCACGAACTAACAGATGGACCCACACCACCAGGAGGGTATCTGTCTCGGGGTGGGTCCCACTCATCACCGCACTCCACTTCTCTGCCATCGCCGGGACCTTCCAGAACCGAATACGAGGTAGAAGGTGTCCCCACCCTCAGGCCCAGCAAGCAGGGGGTGCTCAGCACGGGGCCTGGCCCAAAGGAAGTGCTCACAGGGACGGATGGACAGATCGCAGAACCCTGAATGCCACATCGAAAAGCTCCTGGGGCAGGTGATTCGGTAGGGCAGGAGCTTGTGTGCGTCTGAGACTGATGATTAGCACCGCTCTGTGGCAGTCCCTTGTGCTGGCCCTGAGGGCGCCAGGGGAGGCCGCCACTCTACTCGCTCTCCCTGCTGAGCCGGGGGAGGGAGGCAGAGGAGTCCTTGTTGCTGTGTGAGGGTCTTGCTGCGGGGGGCGGGGGCAGGGTGGTGGTGCCTAAATCCGGGAGGAAGTTCAGGGAACAGAGGGCTCCTCCAGCCAGACCGTTGGAGGAGACTCTCTGGGGAGGCTGAGAATTTTCAAAAACGCCCTAATTTTCCTTTAAAACAAATGGTAGGAAAAAACCTCTGTGCCCAGCCCAGGGGATCAATTCCATGATGATGACTTGGCCATTTCTGGCAGGCTTTTGACACTGTGATGTAGATCCACCCCGAAGTGGAAGGGGCAGCCCTTGGGTGGTCCCGTGAAGGCGGTGGGCTGCATTATGCAAGAAGAAACTAGAAGTTTCTTTCTTCTTCTTCGTAAAGGTAACTAAGCTCGCTGTTCTGTGTGCAGTGAGCCAGGAAAGGGGCCTCCCCGAGTGCAGGTTACCTGGAGAGATGAAGAAGGTTCTCCACAGCTTCTTGTCTCTCGTGACGTCCCGGATTTCCTTGGTCATGTTGACCATCCTGCCGGCCACCGGAGGGACCCGGCGGAAGTCCAGGATCCTGGCGGGAAAGTGACAGGGGAAGGGTCTTCACCTCCGTGCCCCGGCCCTCGCTAGGCTGGTGCGGAGTGAACGCTCCCGTCTCCGAGTCCCGCTGGGCCCAACGCGGGGCCCACAGCTCTGACTGGTGCCGTCGGCCACCAACGAAAATGGGCCCCATGAGGACCACGGTGGGTGGTGTTCTGCTTCCCAGCACCGGCCTGCCAGTGCCTGGGCCCTCTGGGCTCAGGTCGGAACAACGTTAAATTAGCTGCTTTTAATGGGACGCCCTCTAACTGCGCTGCACTCGCTCACTTAAACGGGACGCCGATGGGCCTGCAGCGGCCTCTGGGGGCAGCGGCTGCGCGTGGGGAATGGGGGCATCTTGCGTGCCGCCCGCGCTCCGCCCGCTGCGTGAGCTGTCCTGCGTCATCAACAGGCCTCACCTTTCCGAATGAGGAACCCTCATCGGCTTCGTGGCAACTGTTCCTTTCACAGAAAGGCCTTTTTCTGGGTTTAGGCTGCACAATAGTTGACATTGTTGAAAATCTGACTTGGGGTCTCTGTGGCCCCCAAACAAGATTTTTGATCTTTGAAAAACAAAGCAAAGTAGGGTTTGCAAACTTGAGCGTGCACACGAATCGTGTGGTGTAGAGAGAGGGTCTGGGGTGGAGACCGGGAATCTGCATTCTAACCAGCCTGGGTGACCTGGAAGCTGCAGCCTAGGACACACCCCGAGCAGGAGGTCAGGACCCTGCGGGGTGGTCGGGAAGGCTCCTCCCCCTAGACTCTTGGAACTGACTCCAGCCCCAGCCCCGTGACTGTCCCTGCGGGGCAGGGATCTCTGGTCCAGCAGGGTGGCTGCTGAGAGGCCCCCCGCACCACGGCCCTCGACACCACTGCCCACCTCGCCTTCAGCAAGGGGCCACGTGGAGCCCAGGGAGGAATTCACATTCTGCCCGGTAGAGCCAGCCCAGAAGATGGGTGATGGGGGAGGAGGCTCATGTCCTTTGGTGTCACCGTGGCCCCAGAGGTTCCACCCTGAAACACTCTGGGTTAAAGTTCCTAGCACTCATAGGCCTTTCTGCTCTTCCTTTGTTATTCCCGACGGGCCACGTCCACACTCTGATCACCAACTGCTCCCGAGGATCTCCTGTCTGGCACCGTTCATGGTGTGGGGCCTACCGCAGGGTGTTGTAACATCTGCAGGCCAGACTCCAGCTCTGTGCGGCAGAGACTTACATGCCTCGGTTTTCCCATCTGTACAATGGGGCTAATTATAGGATTTCCCAACACCTCGGGAGGGTGTTGGGAGAGCTATTCGGGCCCACCCGCACGGTGCTCAGGCCCGGGGTGCAGGCGGGACGGCTCACCTGTCCAGGTGGAAGGCAGCGATCTCTGCGTTGTGCCTCTCGTAGTCAGAGAAATAAAAGAAGTCAGGGGGCGTCTCCTGCTCCCTCGTCTGCCTAAAGAAAACAGGGTTTTTCATCACTGTGCGAACCCTCCGGTGAAAGGGTGCAGGAGGCTTGTACTGGCTGGCGAAAAAGCCGGCTGTCAAACTGGCAAGAATTTTGTGAATCGGTTGTTGAAGTCATTTTATAAACATGAGTCACATTTTATTATTTACCTATTTAAAAAGTTTATCTATTTTGAGAGAGCGAACAAATGTGAGTGGGGGAGAGGCAGAGAACGAGCGAGAGAGAGAATCCCAAGCAGGCTCTGTGCTGTCGACACACGGCCCGATGTGGGGCTTCAACTCATGAACTGTGAGATCATGGTGCCCAGAAGTGACCTTTTTTTTTTTTTTTAATTTTTTTTTCAACGTTTTTATTTATTTTTGGGACAGAGAGAGACAGAGCATGAATGGGGGAGGGGCAGAGAGAGAGGGAGACACAGAATCGGAAACAGGCTCCAGGCTCCGAGCCATCAGCCCAGAGCTTGACGCGGGGCTCGAACTCACGGACCGCGAGATCGTGAGATCGTGACCTGGCTGAAGTCGGACGCTCAACCGACTGCGCCACCCAGGCGCCCCCAGAAGTGACCTTTTATAAGTGACAGGTATTTAAATCGCACCACTGGCCGGTTATTTAATGACGTTCGACAGTGTCTTCTTCGGGCTGTTACCCACCTTGCATCTGCAGGGGCAAGCAGAGGTGACGCGTGCCCCCGCAGCCCCCCTCAGTGACCTCTTCCTGGGAGCATGCCGTGAGCCAACGAGGAGGTGCAAACCCTCCCGTCAGGCTCTTCCCCCACGAGGGAGCTGGTTACTAAATACCGCTCAGCCCACCAGCATCCCCGCCCGGACGGTGTCCCCCTGGGGGGCGGGGGATGTGAAGGAGTCTGCGAAGCTCCTTGGGGGCCACCTGTGGGACCCCTCTCTGAAGCCCAAAGAGGCGGTCCATTTTCCACCAGGCACCTGCCGTTGGGGACTGTACAGTCAGCCTCCTCCCGCCCCCCGTAGGCAGCTCCCTCTGCCCCCCTTCCCCTCTCCTGAGCCGGAGTGAGGGCCATCTGCTATTTCCGACTTGTCTGCACTCTGCTGCCTTTGCTGTCACTGTTCTGTCTTCCCGGAACAGGCTTCCTCTCATGTCTCCCGAAGGCTAAGTCAGCATTCCCGAATGGGGGTCCCACCCAACCAGGCCCAGGGGCTTCTAGCACAAAAGGAGCCCTCTGAGAGGTTGGCGTTTGGGGAACATGCCTAGTAGAGCACCCTCTGGGGTCTCAACAGCGCATATTACCACCATAAAGGCCCTGATGAGGCCTGCAGCCGCTCTGTGTCTTAGCACTACACCGACTACAGAGCCCGTTTTTTTCGTAGTACGTTACCACGCTGTGCACTTTTGGGAACTGCTGGTTAAAGCCTACAGTGCAAGCCGTTTCTAACCGCTGCTCAAAGGCAAACTCCCTCGCAAAACTTTCCTGGTGCCTTGGTGGGGGTGACCTGAGGCTCACCCCGGACCCTCCCAGACCGGTGGGCAGACAGGAGGGTTCTGTTTGGAGCAGTGCTGTGGGTCACCCCACGATGGCCCCGCACGAAGCCAGAGCCCAGCCCCAGCTGCTGCCCCACCTGCAGCATGTGTGGTGGGGTGAGCAAGGCGGGGCAGCCCCCGGCTGGCCGTGCGTGCACTCCTGGCCTCCACATCTCCTCCCAGGGAGACAGAAGAACTCTAGGAGCCCTGGGCTCGGACATCCACGCCCCACAGTGAGCTGCAGACAGGCCCCGAAGGAGTAACACGTGACCCTCCGCCCCAGCCAGGGGACAGGAAATCACACACAGGACTCTCTCTAGTCCATACAGGCGAACGGCACTGGGTAAGCACAGACACTGAGCAGACGCCTGGGGAGCAGGGACGCATGACGACTGCAAGTGTTTGACCTCGGCAAGCAGGGAATTTCCTAAATCACGTCAGAGCAAAAACGCTCCCTGCGTTAAATCCAGCTCTGTTCTGTGCCCCTGCCCGTACCTGCAGGACCATGTCCACCTTCCAGGCTGGGGGCAGGGACTAACTCAGCCCTCCACCTGGTAAGAACTTACCAAATGTCGGGGACCTTCTCCGTGCTGGAAAACGCAGGGTGGGGAGAATCACGTGTGACCTGGCCAGTGAGGTAGAGGCTTGAATGATGTCCCAGCCCTAAGAGGCCCGTTCAGGGGCTACGGCTGGCCTTGCTGGGCAGCACAGACCTCCCCACCCTTGGGGGCCACCTGTCCTCACCCTGTCCAGGGGGTGTGAGTCCAGGGGGGGCGGGTCTGGTGACGACCCTGAGGGTCGCTGAGGGCCCAGAGTTTTGCCTGCCTGCTGCACCCCACGTGTGCACACAGGTGCACACACACACAGACACACACTCACAGGCACGCCTCGCCATGACAGGGCTGTCAGGAGGGTCTCAGGGAGAATAGGGCCTGGTCCTCTGCCTCCTCTCTGGCACGGCCACGCAGGCGGCTGCGAAGGAGCCTTGGGCATCATGGAAGCACAGTTTGCTTTCCTCGCATTTGTGGTGGAAGAGACTCCGGGCCAGAGATGGGTGTGACTGATGTGATTCCAGTCTTAAGCACATCCCGCCGCTGCTGCTCTGCTCCTGGCCTGGCAGCAGACGGGCGGCCGGGGGGAGGCCCGGCCCAGGCTCTGTGGCCAGGCCGTGGGTCCCGGGCCCTCAGCCCCGAGGCCTTCTGGCCAGTTCAGCGCGCCTACGGCTGGGGGCCCCGGGCAGGTGTGGGGGGCCCAGGCGGGAGGGAGAGGCCACGAGGGTGGGTGAAGCCACAGGCTGCTGGCCAGGCTCAGCCTCCCAAACGTGCCCCCCATCACCCCATATCTGTGGCACCCACCTCCAACCCAGGACTTTTGCCCGCACACACCTCCTAGCCGTCTCCAGCTCTGCCCGCCTCTCCCCTCACCCCTGTGGCTCCATCACCAGACCCCTCCCAGCCCCAGCCCCAGGCCCTTCCCACTTCTGCACCTTTGGGCCGGGCTTTCCACGGGCACTCGCCTTCTCCATCCTTCCCAAGATCTGTCCCAACCCCACCCCCGCCCAGGCCTCCCACGGAGGAGCTTAACACTGCTATACTAGACCACCGCTTGCAGGGTCTGGGGACAGGAGTGCCTGGCCAAGCGCCCGCTTTAGAACGGGTGTGCCATAAACAAATGAAACATTGATGGAGGGAGGACGGCGAAGGGGCACAAACCGGTCCCCGGCCTTGAGCTGCTCCCACCCTTGTTTCTTCAGTTTGTACCATTGTCATCATCAACACCATCACCGTCACCACTCTCCCGTCCACAACCATTATTCCTAGTGCATACTGACCCCTTATTGCCTGAGGTGCCTGATGTGATCACAGCGGCTTGATCTGTGACGCTAACACGTGAGCGTTTCTGTTTACCAGTGCTTGGGCTTCTGTTCATTGCTCCCTTACTCCAGCCCACTCCTCTGATCAGGTCAAGCAGGTGACAAGCGGGTGGCTCTGAGCCCTGCTACTCTGCGAAGAGACCAGCCACTTCTCGGAAGCCCTGTGACCAAGTTCCAGAACAGTTCTGGTTCCCTCACATCTTTCACCTCAGGGCTTGTTCCAGTGACCTCCGTCCCCAGGCTGTTTACACAGAGAGGCAGCTCTTTCCCGCAACCCCAAGGCCATACACGAGCCTTCCGCCTGGCTGTCTTGGCCTCCAGATACCCCTGCGCAGAATGACCCTGGACGTGCAGAGAGGTGGTGATGAAGTGCTGTTTGTCTGTGTGCTCAGTGGCTGTCTTCACTCCCGAGAGGCTGCGAGGTGCCCCTGGGGCCTCTGTGCTCTTCGGGCGTGCCTCCAGATGTGTGAAATACCCCTGGGTGATTTTAAGGCTCCTATAGGCTGTGAGCAAGTTGGGTAGGGGTCCTAGCTTAACCCGTCCTGATAAGGGCCAGGCTGGGCGCTCAGGCAACACGCAAAGATACGAGGCAGGGTGGAAGGTAGGCTTGGTGTGGGCCTCTCCAGTCATTCATGCCCTTGGGTGGCAGTGAAGGCGCCCAGGTCAGCACCCATCGCCAACTGGGGGGGCGGGGGGGGGGCGCGAGTGTGCTAGACTTCCAGACCCTCCGTTGCTCCAGCTGTCAAATGGGTTCATTCCGTGCATCTCCACCCCCGCAAGGAGAACAGGGCTCTGGGCGTGGCTGGCTGGCTCGGGCTCCGGTCGCCCAAGGGGTCAGCACTCGCACGCAAGCGGGGAGCGTGAAGCCGGGGCTGGCAGCAACACGCTCGGGACTACCTGGTGAGGGTTCCCAAGGGCGAGGCCGGCTCCCTGCTGGTCTCACCGCTGAAGGTCTGTGCCGAGACCACCCAGCATCGCGGAAACCTAGCTGTGCGCCGGCGGGACAAGCGTGGGGTCCGCCCGGCCCCTCGCCCGCCGGAGCCGTCTGGCGAGACGGCGTGAGCCGCAGCCGGACTCCTGCTGGGTGTCCTTGCCGCCAGCCCGCGCCTGCGGGGAGAACCTGGGGGTCCGAGAGCCGGGTGTCGTTGCTGTCTGTAGAGCAGGGCAGCAGGGGCGGAGGGATTTCCGGCCTCACACTGGGCAGGCAAGGGGGGGACCCCCCCCCCCCCCCCCCCCCCCCCCGGGGGGGGGGGGGGTGGAGAGGTCTGCCGGCCTCCCGCCACCTCCTGCGCGTCCCCAGAGAGCCGGAGCTGCCGCCGAGCCAGCCATTTGGGGAAGCGCTTCGGAAAAGTACTGAGCCCGCCGCACCCGGCGGGACCCCTCGCTCAGCTGCACCCGGTCGCCCGGCCGCCTCTCCTTCTCCAGGCGCTGAGGCGGAAGTTGGGCCCGGGTGTCGGGGGCAGGCGAGGGCGCGGCCCACCTGGGCCTCTTCCGGGGGCGTGGGCCGTGGAAATGCGCAAGGGAGATGCTATCGGGTACTGTGGGGGTTGGCTCGGCACCCACAGCCTGCGCCTGGCCTGGGAGGAGGGGTGGGGAGACCAGGCAGCCGGCCCGGGGAGCACGG